GGTTACCGATTAGCTGAGATTATTAATAAAAACAAAGCACAAGAGAGGAAACTGGGAAAGTCCTGATATTTCAAACAGAACATGTTCTAAAAAATTTACATTTTCATCAGCAAAGGTCAAAGTGCTTAATGTAATCAAGTCATTTATTAGAAACAATTTTCTGTTTCATTTAGACCTCGTGAATAATGCTCGCACGTCCTACCTATAGGTTAAACATCTGCTGCAGATGCTCACATATCTGTTTATAAAAATAATCTGCTTTATGAACCAGTTATACACCAGAGACACTGCTCAGGAAATGGAGAGGAAGGCGTGAGCTGCAGAGTGCACACTTTCATGGCAGTGCAGGGCTGAGCTCATTGGCTAAGAACGGTCAGCTGACACTTTCAGCCAATGAACTAGTCCCGCACTTCAAGGCCTAGCTCTGGAGAGATAACAGAAGCTCCCACGTCTCCGTCACAAGACGCGGAGCGGCGCCTGACGAACCCAAGGGAATTAGTCAAACCATTCTAAAATTATTTGACTTCTTACAATGGGGGTGCGTGCTGAAATGGTTATGGTGCTTGGAGTGTTTCTTCAAACAAGGATCAGTAAAAAAACATGTCAAGCACCATAACAGTTTCTGCTCCTTGAATGGGCTATGATGCGCAGCGTACATGCAGCACTTTGCAAACGCCACACCACTATTAGACTTCCCCTTCGGAGAGGGACATCACCCCTTCCTCTGTCTGTCAACGTTCATGTACGGTGTACGCAGGTGCAGATTCACAGCTCCCATGACAGATGCCATGGTAGCTTACGGTGAATGAATCGAGGCTGCGGACTCTCAAAACTGCGAACAAAATTCTGAGGCAGCAAATCTATCCGTCCTACCATGTGATGGAATTGACAATAACTAACTAATATATTCGTATCTTCATATATAATGCTGGAATAATATGTTTGTGGCTTTCCTCTGACTCTCATCCAAACGTGTGTATATATATATATATATATATATATATATATATATAAAACACAGTATATATTGAGGTTACAGCTTATTTAGAATAAATCAGAAATAATCCTGTTTTTTTAAGATCACACACGCTAGTATAATTTAACTCACAATATGTTATGAATATGTAGCTCTCACTGGCGCCTCCCCTTGATGTAGGTGGGGGCTCTTTGCTTTTTTTAGCCTTCTCCTTCTTACAATAGGGAACTATTTTACTCCACTCCAGGCACAGGTATCGAGTTATAATAGTATAGATTTATTTGAATAAGTTAAAACACTATGGTCCTATGAATTTTGCTTACATTATGTAGACGTCCTCAGTGACCTTGCAATAGTAATATGTGACAAAGAAAAAAACTACAATAACCCTTCCCTCCATGTGTCCATATAAATAGCGGCGAGGTTCTCCTTCATTGGTGGATCCAATGGTGTGACTTAAGCTGGCGATGAAACACTCTCCTCTCTCACTTCCAGGTGCTACAGTGCCATTTGGTGGGTATGTCGTTCAGTTATACGTCCAAGTCATTCCATACATACGAGTGATTTCCACACTTGTTTAATTTGCGTTTCACTCTACTTTCAAAGTCTCTCTTTCTCCGGATTCCTCTCTAAGTAAAATATATTTAGTCTCCTAACTGTTCTTCTATTAAATGACTGACCCCCCTGCTGATGCTATAAAGCCTGTGGATTCATTTTTAATGCATTTTCTATTTCATGTATTAGAGAATGAGAGTGATATTTTTGTGTTCCGGTTTCTTCATGTTCGAGTGCCAGGAGCACAGACTCTGGTGCCGAGTTTCCTTTAAGAGATATGAAGATTTGTCTGGATCCTGTAACATAGAATCTTACGGGCATCATGTGTGTTAAATGTAGTGCAATATGTGTGAAACAGCAGTCCAGATGGTAATTTAATTCCGCTTATCACGTCGGTAACACTGTGCACACAAAACATGTAAATATGTGTCTACTTGTAGTTATGGTTAGTTAAAACAGTTCTCAATGAAGGTGATTCTTGCAGTAAACAGATGAGATTCCCTTGTTTGTCGCAGTCATGCGGTGCCCATCATCTAAGCATTCAATATCACTGAATCCAGTGTGTCTGTGTGCGTAAAGGTGAATGTGTCTGTGTGCGTGACAGTGAGTGTGTCTGTGTGCATGAAGGTGAGAGGGTCTGTGTGTGAGCGTAAGTGTGTCTACTGTGTGCGTGAAGGTGAGTGTGTCTGTATGTGTGAGGGTAAGTGTGTTTCTGTGTGTGAAGGTGAGGATGTCTGTGTGAATGACGGTGAGTTTGTGTGCATGAGGGTGAGTGCGTCACTGTGCATGTGGGTAAGTGTGCCTGTGTGCATGAAGGTGAGTGAGTGTGTCTGTGTGTGAGTGTGCCTGTTTGGGTGAGTGTGTCTGTGTGCATTAGAGTGAGTGTGTCTGTGTGCGTGAAGTTGAGTGTGTCTCTGTGGGTGAGTGTGTATTTGTGCATGAGAGTGAGTGTCTGTGTGCATAAAGGTGAGTGTGTATGTGTGGTGAGTGCATCATCATTGGGCGTGAAGGTGAGTGTGTCTGTATGCATGAAGGTGAATGTGTCTGTATCTGTGAGAGTAAGTGTTTTTCCGTTTGGGTGAATGTGCCTCTGTGCATGAGGGTGAGTGTCTGTGTGCGTGAAGGTGATTGTGATGGACCGTCTGGCACCCCGACTGGGTGCCTCCGCAAAACCGATGCTCCTAGTGCTCACCGAGGTCTCCACCCGACACCATCAGCACTGTAGTCCCCACGTCCTACGTTACAGCTTGGCTGGGAACTCTCCGTTCTCCACCCACCCTGGACCCAAGACCAGGATCCAGCTTCCAGTGGGCAGACCTCTCCTACTCCAGAGAGCGTAACAGGAACAGCTCTTAAAAGAGCTAGTGATTATAACACTCCTAAGAGCAATCCCAAGAGTAGGGATTATAGCAGGTATACAGTCAGGTCCATAAATATTGGGACATCGACACAATTCTAATCTTTTTGGCTCTATACACCACCACAATGGATTTGAAATGAAATGAACAAGATGTGCTGTAACTGCAGACTTTCAGCTTTAATTAGAGGGTATTTACATCCAAATCAGGTGAACGGTGTAGGAATTACAACAGTTTGTATTTGTGCCTCCCACTTTTTAAGGGACCAAAAGTAATGGGACAGATTAACAGTCATAAATCAAACTTTCACTTTTTAATACATGGTTGCAAATCCTTTGCAGTCAATTACAGCCTGAAGTCTGGAACGCATAGACATCACCAGATGCTGGGTTTCATCCCTGGTGATGCTCTGCCACGCCTGTCTTCAGTTCCTGCTTGTTCTTGGGGCAAAAGTACCCCAAAAAACACATAAAATCCCCACAATTATTACATCCCCTGATAGCCAGGATCTGGGTGACCAACATATCCAAAAATCACCCAGATCAATTCAGGGCTTCAGGAAGTCCCATGTTGACCGATCGCATGCATGGTTTCATGCATAAAACAGTTCCAGAGAATCAGGCTGTGCAGCCAGTCTACTTCGAGGATTTGAAATAACGTTCGAGTTACCGAACAAAGCCGTTTGTGGATATAGTCAGTGTATGTCTCTTGTTCTGGAGCATCTTCCTACCGGACGCAGTTCGACTCCCGTTTGAATAGCCAAACCTCCATGGAAGGTAAAGTTTTAGCGGTGTTCGTGCTGTCGAGTGTCCAATTTGAGTTCCATGCACTCAACGACAAAACACCGCTGGATGCGTTCGACTAAACAAGATGGCCGCCGCCATGTGTTCGAATGTCAAATGGCGGCCACTTCAACTCACTTCGACTCTTAGGGAGTTTGAAGTGTCACTTTGAAAGTTTGAATTTGTTCCAGTTAGAAGTCCAAAAGGCACAAGTCTTTAACCCAAAGTTCACCACAGGGGCCATAGTCACAGGGCAGGAGGCCGGAAAACAGGCCCCTCCAAAAACCAGTGGCGAGGTCACATTCGCTACAGTGACTGTGTCATTGAGCATTACGGTGAGTGTCACACTGTCCATGAGAGTAAGTGTGTCTTACTGTGTCTTGTAGGTTAGTGTGTGCATGAAGGTGAGTGTGTCTGTGTGCATGAAGGTAAGTGTGTCTGTATGCATGAAAGTGAGTGTGTCTCTGTGGATGAGTGTGTATGTGTGCATGAGGGTAAATGTATCTGTGTGCGTAAAGGTGAGTGTGTCTGAATGTGTGAGAGTGAGTGTTTCAGTTTGGGTGAGTGTCTGTGTGCATGAAGGTGACTGTGTCATTGAGCATTAGGGTGAGTGTCACACTGTGCATGAGAGTAAGTGTGTCTGTGCGCGTGTAGGTGAGTG